TCTAAATAATTCTTATAAATATCCTGATGGGGCTATATAGGTCAATCAGATGAGGCTGAATGAGCCAAGAAAAGTAGACAGCTCTTGTATGCATACACACATATGTTTACGTTTTAATCTGATTTAGTTTGGATGCCTACTCTGTTTCGATGTAAAAGTTAGTATTTGTAGTGAAATCGTGAGAAAATACAAGAAAAACACAGATAGGCAATCATAGACTGTCGAAGATATGAGAAAAGCTATAAATGCTGTTTCCACTGGAGAGAAGTACCGAAACGTAGCAAAGAAATTCAACATATTGCGTGAAAATTTGATAAGCAAGCTAAAAATTTCTATGAAAACTGTCAAAAATGATGGATATACGTTAAAACCAGGTATATATTGTATAATAACCTTCATTTATTAACCTTTTTTTGATAAATTTTGTAGTTATTTTATTTTGAAGTTATTCTAGTACTACGGGAAATTTTTAATACTTTAATTTTGCTTAACAGTGTTAGGTCAGAAGGCAGTACTAAATAAGGAGCAAAATCAACATCTGTGTGATCAAATTTTTTTAAATGAACAAAAACTGCAAGGATTACTGCACTTAAAGTCAGAAAAATGGTGTACATTTATGCAAACGACTTAAAATTAAATCACAGATTTGATGATGTCAACCAATTAGCTGGTAAAGATTGGTTTTTTAAAAAGACATCCTCTGCTTTCTCTCCGAAAGCCAGAACCAACTTCATTGGCTATATCCAATGGATTCAATTAAGATACTGTGGGAACATTTTATCTCTTATTGGACGACTTGTTAGAAATTTTAAGCTTAAGATATATATACCGTTGATAAGACAGGAGTGTCATGTAATCCAAAGACATACTTATAAATTATTGCTCAGAAAGAGAAACGTCAAGTTGGATGTAAAGTTTCGGCAAAAAAGGGACCACTGTCACTACTTGTGGATGTTTTTCTAACTCTGGTAGATACAGGCCATCTTTTTTAATTTTTCCGCGCAAAACTGAAACCCCAAAGTATTATGAGGGAAAACAGGATGATGCATAGGCCATATTCAATGGAAGTGGATGGATGGACGAACTAAAATTTACCAAGTATCTAAAAAAGTTAATTGAATTTTCGAATGCAAGTAAGGACAAATCCGTTATGCTGATAAGTACTCGATGGATATACAACGCATTTAAAAAATTTGGAGGCTATCAAGTTGGCTAAAAATCATGGCGTTGTGATGCTTTACTTGTCTCTGCATTGCACGCATAAATTTCAACCTCTTAATGTCTTCTGCATGACGGCTTTAAACAATTATTACTCTGCTAAAATTAATAAATAGGTGGCGAGACCTCCCGCACTCTACTATTCGACTCAAAGATATTTTTTCTATTTTCACACCTGCTTTTACAAAATCTTCTTCGATGGAGACAACTGTTCATAGCTTCCAAAAAATGGAGATGCATCCATTCAATTCAAATATTTTTAGTGATGCTGATTTTTCTTTAATCAGCCAGCCAGCACTGAAACTCCGACTACTGCGTTGTACGAAAATATGATCAGTAAAAATTCATTGATTCGAAAAAGTACTACTATATTGTGTAATTGGTTCGCACGTATTTCAAATCAAATCTTAATCAACTTTTATGTCTATGGGTTATCCAAGAAGCACATCCAGAAGCGTGAAAGTACCTCTTGGCCAACCTTCAAGCTCTATGATAGAAACTATAACCTCTGTCGGTACAAATAGAGAAAATGCTGCTCAATCAAAAGAATTAAACTCTAACGTGAGAGCCATTATGAGTCCTTTTCCTGTTATTGCAACCTGCAGTAGTGATACTTCACACACGCATATTACAAGCATAGAAACAGTAACTGCAGCATCTTTGTCATCAATTGATACTTGCCCAAGAGTAGAGATGAACGGGCAAAGTTCAGTCTTTCGATCAAGCAATGCTTCTCATACCCGTAGTAATATTATTACTCCTAAAAACAAGATTATTGGAGCAGTAAAGAAAATTATTAATAAAGAGCTAAATCAATTATTTAATCAATTGTCTAATACAAACATTTAAGCAAAGCCAGTATTCACAAGTTTTTTCAACGAGTTGCATATTTAAAAAAAAATTACATCACAAAGCATTTTATTGTATCTAGGTTGCGAAAAAAAGAAGTATACGTGGAAAAACTGCAGCCATTACTTCAGATCAATGTGAAAATGAACGTACTTTAGCAACATAAAAACAAAAAACTACATCCAAAACCAAAAATAAAGCAAAAAAAAAAAAAGTACTAAAAGACACATCAAATATTAAAGTGATGCAAGAATCTTCATTATTTTATGCATTGTTTTTGTTGATTAATCCGCAATTCCGACAATGAGCCAGAATATTTCATTATCAAATGATATAAACGTGCTACAGCCAGTAAACCAGCAATCTTTTTAAAATCATCCATTGCAGTATTTTTGTCTGCCTTAAAAAAATAATTTTACAAGTTTTGTTTTGTATTTCTAAGCATTTACTTGAATATGATTGTAAAAGTTAACGTATCTAAAGAATTCAATTAAAATTTATAAATAATTTCAAATGAATAGTATATTACGTCACAAGGCAGGGAAGTAGTACATTCCCGTCTACATGGATATTCATGGCAAATACGCGGACGGTGATGTGCTATTTTGCTGCCGAGTGGCGTATACGATTTTTCTTCATACCCGGCGGGAAGTTCGCGACTCAAATAAAGTTGTTTGTTTTTTAATTTTATATAAAATCAACACGCAGTCGTTCCGTCGTTCATTGTGAACGCTTATTCATTTGTTTATATCTAGAGAAATAAGAGCAAGCGAAATAGAAAACACTGTATAGCGACTCCGGTACTGTATGCAGCAGCCACGCTCGTAGAAGTAGTTCAATTCTATATGAAATTCGATTACACACAAAATTTATGTGAAAATCTTATATACCGGCACTATGGGAATTATGTTAGTATATAAATCTACTTGGAAACAAAACAGACCTATAGGTATGTCACCAAGTACATAAGCTTCATTCATATACTCACAGAATTGCTTTCAGTACTTAGACGTACAGAGACTGAGTACTTGAATATTTTCAATTGTTGAGTATAACACTACTCACTGGCTAAAATCATTAATTTTACACTCTGCAATCTACATATTTGCACGGCATAAGTATTGAGGTTATGATCCGACTGTTTTGGCTTTCGTCAGCTGAGTATAGTACATTGTCAAATATAGTTATATACACATGAGTAGCTGACGACTGACATGAGAAATTAACTAGGAGCTGCGTGGTACCTTAGCGTGTAACAAAAAGGTTCTCGTCCTGGTCAGGAATGCCAAACTCCCCGGCCTTAAATCAGAACGGGAATGCGAACTTTCCGTCAGGGTATGATGAAAAAAATTTTACAATAAAAACATTTTATGAATCACTATAAATTAACTCGAAGAGTCGAATCTGTGATTTAAAATAACAAAGTTATTTCAACAAGAAATGTATATGTGCCAAAGTTTGTTGTTATGTCAATACTAAGTATAATAAATTAACCAATAGGTATTGTAATAAAAATAACTCAATACATGTACAATATTATTCAGATTTCAATCTGTAATTTGAGATTTCAACAATTGTTCCAATCAACCAATTCCATTATAATTTATGTACACGGAACGGATCATTTTGTTAGTAAATGAAAATGTTGATAACTTAATAATTTTTTGTAATAGCAGTTAATAATAAAGATTTGAAAGACGTTTGTTTTGTAATGTTTTATTTCCTATTTCTCAAAAGGATCATACATCTCTGTTATTTCTACCTACGTTAAATTCAAGGCACCCATAAGAAATGTACAGGCCCATTCAGTCTCAGTGTACGCCTCATGTCTGAGGTAAAATGAGTCTTTGGATGTTGCAGTCCTTAAACCCATATATTTAAAAATCAGTTGCGTTTGAAAGCCAAAAAAAATTTTAGTTATATTTCTGAAATGTTTTAGGATGTTATTTATGGATTATATATAAATCTCATAAATATTAAATTTTTCAAACCAAAATTGAATGTACAAAAAATAATAAGAATGTTAGGTTTCAATTTAAGGTGGCTCATCACACTTGTACTACCTATTTACGTGACATCAGACTATCACACCCAAACGTATCGAGTTATAAAGTTGCCACGCTTCAAGTAACCTGTTTTTTTTTTCATTAAGAGTCACCTAATTAATAAAATATTATACAATATTTCCTGGCAGACCTACATTTTCTTGATGTCATTGAAAAGCTCATTATTTATTTTTTTATTACCTAGTTTTATCATAAGAGTCGAAGTATAATTTGGAAGATATTTTATTAAATATTATTAAGATTGAATGGCCTTTTGCAAGAAACCTTGGCACAGTTACTGGCTGCTAAATTTGGGCCACTAAAGCAACCTTTTTTTTCAGTGGCCACATACTAAAGCATCTGACATACTCAGATAATTATAAGTAATTATTGCCTGCGGTCGGATATACGACTTCTATTTATTGTATAGTCTAAAATAGATTCATAGCTTTTAAATGATACCTAACAAAAGATAAAATTTTAAAAGCTGTTTAAAATATATGATGTTCTTTTAATAACAGCTACTAAGTGGCCAGTAACTAGTACTTTTACCTTAAACATGAAATTTTTAAGTGATTCGTCTTGAGAAAATTGCCTGGCAACATGGTTTGAAGCTTTGCGAGATGATTCAGTTAATATTCGAGTGTTATTCCTGCAAGGTACATACATACTTAAAGTATTTTGATTTTGTGATGAGCCACCTTAAGAGAATAACATATTTGTAAAAAGTAGATATGCCTACTGAGTACTTGTATTTTTACACGTTTACGACGTTATATTACAAGAATTATAAATTTTTTTACTCTGGTGGAAAATCGTAGCAGTCGTGCTATAAATGCAAAAAATTACTTTTTGGTATTAATTAAGACACTTGCTCTATTTTTCCAGAGTGTCCACACAAAAAACTAACGGATAATGAAATTAAAGTAAGGCTCAGGAAACGTTACTGTCAACTACCCGAAATTCGAGCCAAACGGCTACAACAGCAGCTGCAAAAGGAAACACGACGCAACAGGCTAATGGCTAAAATATTCTGTAAAAAATTACAACAAAGAGTATTAAAGGGACAAGTTGATCTGTCTCAAAGTGTGAGTGTTATTTCAAACTTGTAGCATTTGAGGAAGTTAAGTATGTACTAAGAACACTTTTATTGGATTGAAAGCATGTGTACGAAATAATACAAATTGTACTAACCAGCAGTCATTATTATAAAAGAATGTGTGTGCGTGTGCGCGCGCACGCGCGTGCATGTGTGTAAATACATGTATATTTGGAGCATCCCTCGTAAACGGAGACAAATAATGTTTCTCTTTTAACTTCGCGTGTAGATCGTACTCCATGAAAGAATAGTAGGGTAATTTTATTAAATTTTGACCAACACCACTGCTATCAGTCGTAGTAAAAAATTAAGAATTTTTTTTTGACCGCCAACTTAGAAATTTTTGAGGAAAGATTATGCTGACGAAAAAAAAATCCTCATTAGCATTTTTTTCCAAGTAAAATGTGTATATTTGATGTATCTTTAGAGCTTTTATTGCGGGACAAAAATTTTTTTTTCTCATACCCTAACCGAAAGTACATCTTTGTTTTCCCTGTTTTCAGGAAGCAAAGTGCAGTATTCCTCCCAGATAAAAAATCGCATGTACTGCTCATAAAAAAAGTAGTTTTACATCATCTGCATGGTTGCCTCGCGAAGGATGCCAAAATACTTTTACTTATAAGCAGTAAATGCAATTTATACTTGAGAGGTCATGTTGCATTTTTCTCCCTGATATACCGGAAAAACATCGTACTTCCGGCAAAGGAAGAGAGAAAAATTGGATCGAGCCTCGGGATGAGAGTATGGCATCATCTCTCGCCTTCGGTTCGGGTGGCAACTCACATCTGGAAGAGTAAACCGGTACGTAATATACTATTTCATGTATACATATTTAGTTATGAACAAAATTTTTGAAAATGTGGTACTTTTTTCGAAGAACTCATGATTAACTTTAAATTAAAAAAAAATATGGGTGAAACTAACCTTGAGATTTTCAAAAATATGCATATCTTATTCTAGAGAAAACATGTTAACAAAATATATATTATTCATTCTTCTTTTTACCATCATAATTTTTCCTCTGGAATTCAGTACTTGACGGTCTAACAAAAAATTTGAAATTTGTAACAGTCACTTATGACTGTGGTATTGGTCAAAAAATCTGAAAAAATTACAGTAATGTACTCTCATAAAGTACTACTTACACCTGAAAAATAAAAAATAAAAAAAATTTTTTCATCTCTGTAAATGTGGAATGTTTCATATGTACACAAAATATATATATACCGTTTTAACTCATTAATGAACAAAAATAATTCAGTGTGGCCTTACTTCAGATATTATTGTATGATTCTGAATGTAAAAAAAAAATTTTTCAATAATGTATAATAATAAAAATATATAATTCTTAAATAATTGGACTTGAAAAACTAAATTATAATTTTCAATTCGAAAAACTAAAAAAAAATTACTTAATTAAAAACTAGCACAATGCATAAGTTTTAATGTTATTTTAAAATGGAAAATTTAAGTTGTACTGGTCTTCACAAGAGGACTCGTAATATTGCAAGTAGGTTTAAGAACTGGTGTCAAATTCAAAACACTCACAATTCATCCAGTCTTCTTTTTCGTAAATTTACATCATTATTATTTGCAGAACTTAAATATACATAAATAAATTTTCATGCATTTCAATGTTGTTGTTTTTTTTTTTTTTTTTTTTTTTTTTTTTAATACTCATTTTTTCAAACTTTTACAACTCACACAGTAATAAAATCATCACATGTATCAAGTCCTTTTTACTCAGTTTACAAAAATTTACCGAAATGTAGATAAAAATTTGAACATGCTATTACTTAATTACGAATCTGCTTCTCTACTACTTATCTCACATTAGAGTGATTGAATTAGTCCAGGAAATTCTGGTGAAGAAAAAAAAAAATAATAAAATTAAAAAAAAAAAAAAATAGTACTCGCTACGAAATCGTATTCAAAAAAGATTGCAGTACTTTTTAACAGCTGAAAATGTCAGTAAAGGCCCCCAAAAAATGGTAAAAATGGCAAAAACAGGTTTTTTGCGTCTAGATGAAAAGCTACAGACTGTACAAAAATAAGTTTAAAATAAAAAAGATGCACAATTTCAAGACGAAAAAAATTCGATCCGCAGAATTAAAATTGGTTAATAAAATCGGTTTAAAAAACAGTATTTTTCAGCTGGCCGAGTAGTGGGGCGCGCCTTCAGCGGCGCTCCACGGCTCTTAATACTTACTGGAGGTTTCATAAAACAACATTCCAGCATAATGTATAGTAATTCTAGAGAAACCAAGGCCTTTTTGTAAAATTTACGTTAATTTACTTTTTTATGGCCATTTTTCGAAAGGACCTTTTTTCACTTTTTTTAGTGGTTCGGCAAAAGTTTACCACCGATCTTTCTAAAATTTGGTGTTCATGTTGGGAGCTATAATACCTACCTTCTCTCTAAATTTCGGCTCTTAATATTCATTAGAACAAGAGTTATTTGCAAATTGCAAAAAACTGTCATTTTTGGCCATTTTTTTCGAAATTTTAATTAATCTCAACCAATTTTAATTCTGTTGGTTGAATTTTTTTTGTCTTAAAATTGTGCATATTTTTTATCTAAAATTTTTATTTTGAACAGTCTGTAGTTTTTTATCCATACACGCAAAACCTGTTTTTGCCATTTTTACAATTTTTTTTTGGCCTTTACTGACATTTTCAGATGTTAAAAAGTATTGCAATCTTTTTTTGAATACGATTACCAAGTGAGTACTAAATTTTTTTTTTTTTTTTTTAATCAGCATTTACTTGAAAATCAGGGGTCAAAAAGCTAATTGTATCACTCTACATGGTATACAAACTTTTCTGCAGGTATCAAGTTTATTATACTTATTTTATAAATTACTCGTTGTACTTATCTTAAACAGAATTGGAAATTATTAAAAAAATATAAATAAAAAATTCGGCCTATNTAATTTTATTAATTTAAAATTTTATAAAAACAGTTATAAATAATTGAATGACAGTAGTTAGCATACTGCAATGCGAAACAATAGAGTAGGTAAGTAACAAAATGTATTCGTCACATTTGCATAGCTAAAGTGGTAGCTATAATTTTACGCACAATAACTTCAGTTTGAAAATTTAATATAACGTACAAAAATTTTAGAATCAGTGCTTAAATTATTTGTGTAAGACAATATCTTTATACACTTAGAATTAATTATTTATCTTATGTAAAAACAAAATAAAAGTAGAACGATTTATTATTTTCTTAGAGATTTTCGATCGAGAGTGATTCAATAGACTTATATCAATACAATGAATGTGCGTTACAATCTTTGTACCTCATTATCTAAGTAAATTTTTAAACATTTCTAACAAATTTTCTAAGAACTGAAAATGTTATTTTATACAGTAGTATGAAAGCGAAGTACAATTAGCAAAACATGGCATTTGCGTTAATGTTGTGCTAGTTTTAATGAAACGCAAGTAATTAAGTCATTAGTGATGAAAAGTGTTGCTACGTTAGTATTGAGACTTAAATTATTTTTTATCAATATCAAATATGCTTAAACAAAACGAGAAGCTTGTGCTAATCGTTGAGAGCCACTACCATACACATATAGCTGTGGTGATATGTATGTGTCATATCTGTGTTCATTTATGTGACTAAAGTAAATGATCTGGTAACCTCGCATTTGTCGATCGAAAAAAGTCAGATCAAATGTTGTATTTACTATATGTATACTGTGTTTATAACCTTCAGATGCCGTTAGGTGCAACAGGTGACATGTGACGGCAACTTTTCTAATTCGTTAGTTCTTGTGAATTATTCATTTGAAAAAATGTGGAAACATCAATATCAAAATTCAAGAGGAGATTTTAATGTTATTAAAAGAGAGGAAAAAAAGAAAAAGGCACTTGTTGCAATATCATCTGCAAAAAAAAATTCGCAATCGAAAAGAGCACCTCGAAAGAATTATATACCTAGTTGTCATTGAATTGTTAATTTGAAAGAATTTATTCGATTATCAAAATTCTTCACCTGTTAAGGTATTTTAGATCTGGTAACAATTGAGTGAATCTCGCATTGGTTGACACAGTACTTTTTCTGTTTGTGAAAAATGTAAAAACAATTATAAAATTCAGACAATTATTTTTCGTAAAACTAATAGAAAAATTTTTTTAAACACAAACACGTCTGTCGTACTTCGTAATTATTTTAAAACAACTTACTGCACTACTTGAAATTATTTGTCTCAAGCTAACTATTGTGAGTATTACTTTTTACAGGCGCAATCCATTCTGGCTCAGGCTATACTGCTCTGTCAAAGTTGTTATCTTGTGTTGATATTCCTGTAATCTGTAAAAAACTCTACAACAAATACAAATCTCAGGTGGGAAAGTCTATCGAAGAAGCTGCCAAAGTAAGCTGCGGACGAGCAGCTTGTGAAGAAAGACACTTAGTTGTAGAAAAAATAAATGAATTATCAAACTTATTGTAAGTTTCCGTAGAACTCATGAGTGTAGTGATACGGTTTTTAATATCATGTTTCTACAGCCTTTAGGGGAACTGTGTAATATTTAGGGATTTTTTTTCTTTTAACAATTAATTTTTTTGTCTAAAACAGTTTTTAGTGATTTATTCCCATTAAAAATTTATTTTCTACATCTAACATATTAATAAAAATTTTTTTTTACAAATTTACGTACGATCCTGTTTGTGTACGTACTGATCATTTGTTTAATAAAAATGAAAAATGCGGTGACTGGTGTTTAAGGAAAGTAAATTCTACGTATGAAATGTGCATCCTTACCGATGCAAATTTACACATAAAACTTGGAGAAATATTTGATAAGTACGTGAAAAACGCAAAAAAGTTTAGTTGTTCGGCATCTAGTCAAGCGAACGAATCTATGAGTAATATTATAGCTTACAAATTGCCGAAAAATATTTGCTGTAGTAAAAGTATGTCAGCTGATAAAAGGGTTTAAGTGCTATGTGCAACAATAATGATAGAGAATCAACCATTCTGAATATTAAGATCAAATTATGTTTGCCTTTAGGTAAATTTACAACAACACATGCTGTAAGATTTGACAGAGTTAACAACAACACGATAACGATAAGTTAATAACAAACATGAGGGTAATAATAACAACACGATCAGCTTCAAACATAACACGAAGTCCTTTCTTTGTTGCCACATTCATCGAGTACAGGTTTTTGGCAAAGGTAGGTACATACAAAACATCTTCGAGACGCCCTTCATGCCACTTCCCATCGACCAGCTTTTTTACGTATATTGTACCGACACCCGCCACTTCATGTTTGGCGTCGTCCTCCATGCGTACACGTAGTCTTTACCTTGCATGGGCTTGAGATCGCTAAACCAGTCGCCTCTCATTAATATATAACGCGTGGCACTGGAGTGGGTCAGCGATATATCTTTTGGACTTGTACTTTCTATACTTTGCTTCACACTGTCCGACGTTGGCCTGAACTTTCGTAACCGCTACCTGCACCCTAGCCAAAACTTGCTCCGCTTGTCGTGTCCGCGGTGTTGGCTTATTTAATGGCGCCTTTGTTTGCCCAGAACGCCGCA